TTATGTGGGCCTTGCTCGACCAGTCCTTCACTTCACAGGGCTGGAGATTGAAGTCCCCTAACAAAGCCCACGGGCCGTCCAGCCCACCAAGATAGCTCATCAAGGCTGCTAGCTAGAATGCCAACGTTGGCCACGCTCGTCCCCGCACGGGTGATGGGGTAAACCGACACACCACACGCAAAGGGACAGCCCTGCCGATGTTGCACCGCGTGCTGGCCACTCGGTGAAGCGGGAGCCGGACGCCGTGCAAATGATCGTGCTCAAGGGCTCCTAAGTTCGCGCTTCGCGCTGCGCGAAGCGCGAAGCGCGAATAACTTCGCGCTCTCGCGCCGCCCTCCCAAAGGGAGAAGAGGAGGACGAGGAGGAGGGGGAGGAGGAAGGAGGACCGCGAAGCGCGAAGCGCGAATAACTTCGCGCCCTCGGGGGAGCCCTTGGTGCTCCACAGAAGGGGATCTGCTCAACACGCAGGTGCCCCCACTGGAGCGCTGCGGACCGTCGCCGGTCGACCCCGCAGGGCCGACAGCATTCCGATACGGCAGGTTCGTGTCGTGCCGACTTCGGCGTTGGTATTTGACGCCGCGGGGATCGTTCAACCTTGAACGATCGGCCGTTTCCGAAACGTCCAAATCGTTCCACATCGACCGATTCTGGGTCGCCCGCGGCGTTCAACGTTGAACGCCGCTGGCGGGGTCGCCGCCGGTCGACACGACACGAACCTACCGTAACCACGTTGTCGCATCCAGCGCCGCGCTGAAGCAACCTGGCTCTTGCACTTTCGGCGGTGCTCTTGCAGACAGGCCACCTGCGGCATCTTCTCGGCTCCCCCCTCGGCCGTCTTGCGATCATGCCGAGCTCACTCCAACAATCCTTGCCCCGAGCTCCATCTCGAAACATGCGCACTCCAAATCTCCAGGCAGCTGGCGCCGCGCCACACAGCTCGATCCTCGGGCTTGGCGTGGATGCGACCCGCCTGGCGTCCGAGGAGAAGGGCCGACGCCGTGGTGGGGACACCCCCGCTTTGGTTTCTTGGCTGCCTGATGCAGCAGCCCGTCCAGCAGTCGCTTGAGGGCCACATTGTCGACGCTGGTGACTCCGGCATCCTCGAAATGCTTGGCGACCTCAGGATCCTCGATGTCGAGCTCCATGTCGCCGGCTGCTTCTCCCATGGCTGTGTCGGCATCGCCACCGCGAGCAGGGCCATCAGCACCCCCCCAGCAGCAGCTGGAGCAGGCGGCCGGGCAGCGCTGGCTGCTGCATCCGCCTCTAACTTGACCTTCTCGAGCTTCTGGCCCATCTGCTGGACCTGCTCGGTGAAGTCCAGCTGGTACTGGCGAGAGGCCCGCTGAAGGAGTTTGGCAAAGGCCTCCATTGCGAGCACGGTGGCCTTGGGATCCTCCGTTGCGGCCTCAGGGGAAGGCTCGGGACGAACCGAATTGGCATGAGCCTCCCGGATGGCGGCATCAATCTTGACAGGGTACTTCTCATGCTCATCGAACTGCTGGCGCTCTGCCTGCGCTGCAGCGGTTGCCTCAGCGACAAGACGATCAGCCTCCTCGCCACTGGCTTTCGCTGCCTCCACCTGCTTGACCTTCTTTGATCGCCTGGCCAACAAGTCTTGCAGATACTTCGATCCTAAGTCAGCGGGCCCAGGAGGCTGGTCCACCGCCTTGTCTTTAGACACCTGGTACTCCATGATTTCAGCAATATCTTTGCACGTGGACTGCTGGTACTCGCGCAGAGCTTCGACCGCCAAGTCGTTGGACTCCTTGGGGGCAGTGCTTTTGCCTCTTCCAGCCTTGGGCGGCCCGTTGGCCAAGCGTCCGAGGGCACACTGGTCCCCAACATCATCCCACGGCACTGCTGCACCCGGGAAGCGGAGAGCCTTGAGGACCCTGGCTGGGGCAGCGGAACCGCACTGACGACACTTGCTGCGCCACATGAAGTTCCCGTACTGGCACTTGCGGTCACGGCAAACCCATGTCTTGCTCGCTGCCGCCGCGCCATGGGACATGAGCGCCGAGGTTGGCATGTAAGCTTGGCTCTGTGCCGCTGCGCCACTTCCAAGTGCGCGACACCAAGGGGACGCTTCTCCAGAACAAGACCTGGAAATGGCTAGGAGGAGGAGGAGGAGGAGGAGGAGGAGGAGAAGAAGAAGGAGGGGGAGGAGGAGGAGGAGGTGGAGGAGGAGGAGGAGGAGGAGGAGGAGGAAGCGGAGGAGGAGGAACCTGCAGCGGTCGGAGAACACCAATGCCGACAGGGACCAGGAATCAGAAGGAGGAGGAGGAGGAGGAGGAGGAGGATCCTCTTTCTATCTGGCGCCCTCTCCTCGTCCACAGCTGCCCCTCCGAGGCGTTCCTGGGGCGGTCGCGACGGTCGAAGACGACTCCAAGCCGATGTCTGACGATCCAGTGAGCCTCAGCAGCAGGTACCCAAGGAGGCTCCTGGCAGTCTGACGCAAGCCTCAAGATGGTCCCGCGCAAGTCCCCCGAGAGGCGACAAGTTTCGAATCCATCGAGCTCTCGCACACTTCTGCCACTCACCAAGTTCCAGCTTCCGATACCTCAAAGAAAAGCCCAAGAACCCTGAGAGTCCCAGAAGGGCCCCCAAGAGAGCCCAACGCGTCCCCAAGATGGTCGAACGTGGCATGGCCTCCAAGACGGTCCCAAGACGTCTCCCAGACCGCCCGAAGATCGCCTCAAGACTGCCCAGAGAGACTGAGGATCCCTCAAAGGGGCTCGCTCCACGAGGCTTCAGTGAGCCCCAAGAGTGCCACACAAGAGCCCGAGAGCACCCGAAGAAGGCCTCAAGATAGCATCGAAAACATTCAATTCCAAGCACCCTCAAGCCCCAAAGTGACTCCAAAACGCATCACGATGCTCTCAAACCAGCGCAGCAAGGATCCAAGAGAATCCCAAGGCGGCATCCTCTTCGCATTCCTGCTCCCTCCCTCCTCCCTCCTCCCTGGCACCTGCACCCAAGCGAACCGCGGACTGGACCGAGCAGACACGTTGACGCAGGTCGGCCCGAGACACAACAGAGCATCCAAGAGCCTCCGAGTGCAAACTCTCCAACAGGGTCGGCGGGTGTGGCCCAACCCTCAAAGAGTCATGAACCCAGCATCTATGCAGCTCCAAGGGCTGATGTTGGAGGCGGCCAGAGGGTCTGCACTGGATGGGGCCCTAGAAAATCGATCAAGAGTGGGTGACGAAGCCACCTCCGCTCAGAATCGGTCCCCAGACCCCTACTGGGGCCTACCTGGTGCAGCTTTCACCCGATATGCGGCTTGTGTACGCTCCAGGGGGCCAAAAGCGGCCCCTGAAAAAGGCAACAACAAAGAAAACCTGCTCGATCCCGGCACCTCGAACCTCGCCCCCCTTCCTGCTCGCCGGAACCAATGCTATGCCACCTCACACCCCCTACCGGCTCCAAGGCGAATGTCCGTGGGTGCCCTCTCCCAGGCTGAGATGCTCGTTCTGGGGACCTTCCTGGAGCCACTCGCTTCACTCATGTGTCGAAACTGCGTAGAACGTCCGTCGACTCGAGTGGAACTTGAGTCGAGCCTGAGTCGAACCTGGGTCGAACTTGAGACGAACTGGAGTCGAACTGGAGTCGAAATAGAGTCGAACTAGAATCGAACAGATCCGCCAGGTGGGCCCCAGGAAGGTTCTCAAAATAAGCACCTAACCAGACGCACACCGCTGAGAACTGGCCGACGGGGCCGTCACACCGCCGCGCTCACGCTGCCAAACTCTAACCGTCGGGGCTGGTCACGCCGCCGGCTGAACCGCGGGCGCCGCGGGCTCGCGCCAGTCGTAGAACGTGTCCCACATCGACTCGCCGAGCCGTGCGTCTGCGTGCAGCCGCTCCACTTTCTCCTGAGGGCAACGTTCCCAGACCTCAAACGTCTCGGGAAATTCGAAACGTCTGTTTTTCACAGTTTTCGGCCTCTGCGGCCATCGCAGGGCCCAGGAACGTCAGAAGACAGCTCAGGACGCAAAACCAGCCCCAGGGAAAAGGTCCAGACCTCCAGGGATCCCGCATTGAGAAACTCTCAAGTGCGGGCACGACTTACGTCCATATCCACTACGTCTTGGACTTTCTGGGAAGGGGCGCCACAAGGCCGAGGCGCAGTGGGCATGGATCAACATCTACCCTCGAGGCGCCAGATCTTTATCCACATCCACTGCACCTCGGGCTTCTGGGAAAGGGAGCCCAGAACTCCAAGACGCAGTGGATATGGATACATATCTTGCCCGCAGTGAGGGGCGGGACCGGCGTATGGGGGAGGGGAAGCATCGACCTGGAATCGGCGACACATCGCCGATGGATCGGCGCTAGAGGGCCCGACAGCGAAGCCGCACGTTCCTGGGCAGGGTGGGCTATCAGGGGGTGGATGCATCCCCCCCTGAGCCACATGAAACCCCCCTGACGTGGCCCCTTGGCTTTTGCGTCATTCCTCGGCTCTCCGGCGGCCGTTCGGGACATTCCGGGCACCCCCAGAACGCTCTCGGCGAGGCGCAGTTGCTGGAGAGAACCCCCAACTCAACTCAATAACGCCGTGGCTGCACGACACATCGGCTGAAGAAGTGCCAGCGGCTGGAGGCGCACGTCCATACCACGGCACAGAAAAGCAAGGACAGTTCAGGAAAAGGCGTGCCTTCGATTGTCTTCCACACTTGCTGGCTATAGTTCGCAGGACTGAGAAATTGCGACAAATCACTTTCCTGAGGGGCGGGGGGAGGGAGAGGAGGAGGACGAGGACAGGGAGGGGGGAGGCCCCGTATCGCTGAAATGGCGTGCGCTCTGACCACTGCGCCCCATGTCAGACGGGGTCGGCCTCTCCGCCTTGGCGCATTCAGGCCGGCAGGCTCAACGGTTCCAGCGCTGAAAACCGTGCGTCTGAGAAGCAAATCAGGCATAGCCGCGATCCTTCCAAAACACAGCAGCTGCCAGAACAAAGCTGTTTGGCTCAAAGTCACTTCTTGCGCTCATCTGCGCACCTCTGCGTTCGTGACCCGCGACACCATGGAGTGTGGTATGCCCAATACTTGTCGCAAGCATTTCTCTTGAAAGGCATCGAGCTTGTCCTGGTCGGCTCTCTTGAGGCAGAGCGTCTCGATGCCGTAGGTCAGCTTGGTTATGTTGTACGCCCGAAACAACATGAGCTTGCGTCTTCGTGGAATGGTGGCATGCCGCCATACGAGCTTCAAAGTGTGAAACGCAGCCCTCGCCTTCCCGATTCTCCTGGCAACGGCTACACCCCGTGCCGCCATCTGCGCAGAAAAGACCTCCCAAGTAGACTGCAGGCGTCACTGGCTTCACAGGGGCCCCATCAGGAGCGACGATGTCCGATGTATGTCTGACCTGCAGGTGTACGATCTTCGCCCAATTTGGCTCCAGACCGTATGCGTGGGCTTGAACAATTAGACCGACGCCGGGAAACCTCCGAGGAACCGACCTGAACTCCCGAAAAAACTCGAACTTGAGACTACGTGTTCTTGATGCCGATGACGATGACAATAACGATGGCGATTACGATGACGATGACGATGACGTCACCATCATGGTCACCATCATCGCCGTCGCCATCGCCATCGCCATCGTCATCGTCATCGTCCCAGCGCTGCCCTGGGTCTCCGCGACCCGCGCGTCGAAGCCGCCAGGCTCCCACAGCTTCGGCGCGCCGCCCGCACCGCCGGACGCGGGGGCCCCCGGCGGCGGCCCGCGCAGCGGCGCCCGCCGCGCAGCCAGCTGCGCCAGCTGCGCGCACGGCCTCCGCTGGGCCTCTGGACAAGAGCGTTCCACGAATTTCTCGCGAAGAGACTACTCGAAAACCCTGAGATCCTTGCGCTGCAAGTTTTCCACAACGGGCGCTTTCGCCCAAGCTCGGGCCCCGGGACCCTCACAAATCGATCCAGTTCGAAAAAAGGACGCAGAAAAATGGGGTCTGCGACTCCCATCGTGTTTTTGTTTTGCGATGTAGCAATTTGTTTTGCAACGTCGGATCTCAGGGACTCGAAAAGTAACTGCTCTCAAATGGCCCGGATCCGCCGCGGGGGAGTTACGATACACATGACATCAGGGAAAACGTATCCTTTTTCGGACGCTTGCGAATAGGCACTTTGCGCGAGCAGTGGGACTCGCCCGGCGAGCCTCCGCTCTGGCCCGCGGCGCAGACCCCACGGAGCCCGCCGGCCCGGCGCTGCGCGGCCGCACGGACTGCCGCCGAGGCTCGGCGGGCGCCTCGTCCCGCACGGGCGCAGCGGCGCGTGCCTCGGCGCCCCCGGCGGGGGCCGCCTTCGCAGCCTGCGGCGGTGCGCTCTCCTGCTGCTGAGCGGGCGCGGCGTCGCGCCCGCGCGGGCTCTGCTCGAGGTCACGCACGGCCGCCCTCGAGCGACGCTCGAGCCCCTCACCAGCCTTGGTGGAAACCCCCAGCGGGTGCAAGTCCACGAGCGCGCGGTACCCTCTCAGGTTCAGCCTGGCCAGAGGCAGCTGCCGAAGCTCCTCCACCGCAGGGTGGGGCCCGCGCACCTGCACCACCGCACCGCCCACTTCCAGCGCCAGCCAGACCCTCGCTAAAGCGCCCGTGCTGGCGCCGAGGCGCCGGAACTCGTCGCGCAGGTCCGCCTTGTAGGAGTCGACCTGCGAGCTGACGAAGGGGGGCATCTGAAACCTCAGGTCCAGGCCGTCCTCGGGGTCTTCGCCCTCCAGGCGGCAGGCCTGCGCGGCGGCGGCGGAGTGCCGCAGCCAGGGGCGCGAGTGGCTCTCGCGCGCCACGGCGCGCAGGCTGCGCCGCTCGGCCTGGTCCGCCAGCGACGCGGGACCCTCCGCGGGCACCCAGGAGGTCCAGGCGTTCTGCCCCGCCTGCGCCAGGAGGGGCCCTCCCCCGGAGTCGCGCCAGCTGGCCGACCTGCTGCCCGCAGGCTTCCACGGCGGCAGGCACCCCGTGGAGGACGACCGCCCCCTCGGGGCGACGCCGTCCCCTCTCGGGTCGACAGCACCCTCGGGATGAGGGCGGGGCACCTCGCCATCGTCCTCGGCCGCTCCAGTGTGGCGGTGGCCTCTGCTTCCACTCCGGTGCAGCGCCTGCTGCTCGGGCTGCGGCGGCTGCTGCTCCTCGGGCTGCTCCTCAGGCTGCCGCTCGGGCCGCCCATCAGGTTGCTCCTCGGACCGCTGCCCTGGCTGCTGCTCGGGCCCCTCATCGGGGCGCTGCTCCAGACGCTGCTCAGGCTCCTCGTCGGGGCGAAGCTCCAGCCGCTGCTCCTCCGGCTGCTGCCCGGGATGCAGCTCTCCCTGCAGGCCGAGGTGCTGCTCCGACGAGGGACTCCGACGGGCCTCCGCGGCAGTGGCGCCCTGCTCCGCCAGCGCCGCGGCGGCCACGTCGCCGGCCCCGCCCTCCCGCGCCACCTGCGCGGCAGCTTGCTGCTGCGCCTGCGCGGCCAGCGCACGCTCTGCCACCAGGGCCGCCAGGGCCTCGGCGGCCAAGGCCTCGAGGGCGTCCCGCTCGGCGGCGGCACGCTCCGCCGCCAGGGAGGCGGCCCGCTCCGCCGCCAGAGCTTCGGCGGCGGCCCGCTCTGCCTCTGCAGCGGCCCGCTCGGCAATGGCGGCCTGCTCGGCAGCAGCCCGCTCCTCCGCAAAGGCCTGGTACGGCACCTCACCGCCATCCTGCCGCCTCCTGCCGTCTGATGGCGGTTCGGATGCCAACTCGGCGGAGGGGGGCGGGAACAGGAAGGTCCGCTGCGGACTCCTGACGCCACTCCGCTTCATGGCGAGGTACTGGCGCGGCTCGCGGCTCCACGCCGCCAGTGCCCGGATCTCCTCGACTGCTCGGGACTGCCGCTGCGCCTGCGCGCCGCTCTTCGCGAGGGGGTCCTCCTCGCCAAGCCGAACGGCGTGGGGGGCAGGGGCGCCGAGGCGAGGCGGATGAGCCTGGGCCCCCGCAGCACTCTGGGGGCGCTGCGCCGCCTGACCAGGGGGCCCGGCGAGCCCGCCCAGCGGCCCAGCGCTCGGGCACCTTGGCATCTCTGGCCTCTGGGAGCCGACGGCTAGGGCACCAACTGACGGGTGCACCGGGGTGCTCGCGGTCGCCGAGGCGGGGCGCTGCGGCAGAGGGAGCTGTTTCGGCAGGGGCAGTTGGGGCAGCTGCACGCCCGAGGCCGACGCTTCCGGCAGCAGCCCGCTCGGTGCCGTGGAAGCCGCCGATGACGACCTGGGGGGCACCGGGAGCGGCGGCTTGTCCTGCTGGACCAGGTTCAGCAGCGCCTCGGCCTTCTGGAAGTTGTGGCGCAGCCTGCGGTGCCCGAGCACCTCACACAGGGCACGAGCCACCTGCATCCACTCTGCAAAGCCAAGGGGCGCGGTCCCCTCCAGCAGGCTGGCCTCGATGGCCGCCCCGACGCCCGCCTCCGCGTGGGCGGCCAGTGCTGGCCACAGCAGGGCCACCTGCGCCTGGCTCACCGCGTTCTTCTTGAGCGGGTCCAGGCGGTGGAACAGGTGCCAGGCCGCCTGCTCGCACGCCCGCTCCCCGAGGTGCTGGGCCGAGGAGGGGCGCAGCTGCCGCCCTGGCGCCCTGCGCTGCGGCCGGCTCGGCGCGGCGCTCCGCGGCCGCCCCGCTGGCGCTGAGGCCTCCGGCGTGGGGGCCCCAGCGGCGGCAGCGGCGGCCATCGCCGCCGCCGCGGCTGCGGGGGCCCGGGGAGCGGCGGGCCTGGCTGCAGGCCAGACTGACACCGGAGAGGGAGACACAGGCGTGCAGGAGGAGGAACACCACCGTGCTGGAGGGACCCTCGTGCTCCCCGCTTCGGCCAGCCGAGGCCCTAATCTTAAGTGGGACCGGGGGCTGGCAAACGTCAGCGTCGTGAAGCCCACTGCGTGGGCGCAGAGGGAGCGGAGGCGAAAAGAGGAGAAAGGAGGAGGAGAAGGAGGAGGAGGGAAAGGAAGAGGAGGAGAAGGAGGCGGAGAGGCAAACAAAGCACAGTAGCATCAGCAGCATCAACAGGACGAACAGAAGGAAGACACAGAGAACAGTACGCTCGCCTTTCATGAGAACGGGTTCGCCGACTGCAAGGTTCCCCAAACAGTGTTTGCACTTACGGTGTCTTACTTCTTCTCTAAGGAACTGGGCTTCGCTGCTAGTCTGGCGACTCCGTGATCGCCATCGCCGCCCCGTCGCCGCCTCGTCGCCGCCCGTCGTCTGGGTCTGGCTGCCAGGTTTGGCGGTTCTGTGCTCGCCGTCGCCGCCCCGTCGCCGCCCGTCGTTTGGGCCTGGCTGGCGGTCTCGCAGCTCTGTGCTCGCCGTCGCCGCCTTGTGGCCGTCCCATCGCCGCCACGTCGCCGCCTAGATTGTACAATCTCTGTATATGCACATTTTTACCTAACAGCGAAGACTGATAGGTTTCTAGTAGGGTCAAAAGAAAGCATCATGACTCCCCAGGGGGGTCTGGGCAAATGCCGGACGGGTGCCGGGGAAAACCGGGGACTCCTTTTTTAGCCAACAGTAACGCACTTCGTGCTCTTCGAGTTCCCAGAACTCCATTCCTGGGCACGATTTTGAATGCCCGGAGCCAACTGTAGGTCACTTCGTGCTCTTCGAGTTCCCAGAACTCCATTCCTGGGC